CAAAGTTGTTCCACTGATTGATTGTTCTAACTGTCAGGAAATCTCTCCTCAGTTCTAAGTGGCTTCTCTCCTTCATTAATTTCCACATTTATAATACATGTTAATGTGCAATTGGGGAAAAACAGTACAATAAACAAAAACAGCACTTGTTCTTGTGATGTTGAACTAAATGTAGTCCTGGACTCACAACTTTTCATTTAGTGACTGTTCAAAGTTCCGAGGGCACCGAAAAAAAGCGACTTATGACCACTTTTCCACACTTGTGACTGTTACAGCATCCCTTTGGTTAGGTGATCAAAATTCAGATATGTGGCAACTGACTCGTATTTATGACGGTTGCAGTGTCCTGGGGGGGTCACGTGATTCCTCTTTTGCAACCTTCTGACAAGCAAAGTCAATGGGGAAGCCCGATTCACTTCACGACCGTGTTTCTAACTTAAAACAACTGCAGGGGTTTACTTAACAACTTCAGCAAGAAAGGTCGTAAAATGGGGCAAAAATTACAACTGTGTCACTTAGCAATTCCACTTTTGGGCTCTATTGTGGTTGTGTGGGAAAACAGGGATGCTGCAACGGTTGTTAAGTGTGAAAAATGATCCTGAATCACTTTTTTTCAGTGCCATTGTTAACTTTGAGCAGTCAGTAAATAAATGGTTGTAAGTTGAGGACTATCTATATCTAAGAGGAAGCTCGTGCATCTAACCACAAATACAAGAAAAGGGATCCGGCAACTAAATTCATCCATCGGTGCTTTGAGTAATCAAAACCACACAGTACTTCTTAAGTTTGAAGCAACACTGCCAAAAAAACAACCCAAAAAATAAACCAGCATAGCCCAACAATTGCTAGAATTTAAAAAAAAAGCCTTTTTCAAAAGTTCTTCTTCAACTTTTATAGCCAGATGCTGATTATCTCTATAAAAGCATAAAAAATGCATTCCTGAACTGAAATCTGGATAAACCCTAAAAGCACAAATATGCTGTAATTATTTCCCTTTTTGTTCACACACACACACACAGACAAAAAAACCCACCCCTTTTACAAACTCTCTTCCATTACTGGAAGTCTGAGTCACAATTACCAGCAGGAAGTTGGACGGCAAAGTGGGGGAAGTTTTGCGTATTTTCAAGGCTGACGAACGGCAAACTACAGGTAATCCAGCTGTTGTTGTTGACTCTGCCTAGCAGCCCTTCAACCGGTTGGCTAATCACCCCACAGCCCCACATGGACAGATTTTCCCCCTCCCCAAATTAAAAGATCACTGTGGTGGCAACCTTAGGATTGATTTTTCAATAAAAGGCAGTTGTTTTCTCATCAAACAGGGCAATATTTTAAGGATTTATGCAAAGAAAATGTATCGGATTCCACAAAAGGTTGTAAGCAGGGGTGAGGCATGCAATTAGAATTAGAATAACAGAGCTCGAAGGGACCTTGGAGGTCTTACAGTCCAACCCCCTGCTTAGGCAGGAAACCCTACACCACTTTAGACAAATGGTTATCCAACATCTTCTTAAAATTTTCCAGTGTTGGAGCTTCTGGAGGCAAGTTGTTCCACTGATTAATTGTTCTAACTGTTAGGAAATTTCTCCTCAGTTCTAGGTTGTTTC